CACACACACACACACACACACACACACGCACACATCCTTGTATTTGCATCAAACTGAGGACATTCTATTGACTTCCATTCATTTTTATTACAGTATTTATGCCTAACCCAGACATTTTCCCTAAAACTAACCATTACTGGTCTGTAGTTAACCCTAACCTGAACCAAAACTTAATCCACACCACACCTCTAAACCTGACTAGTAAAGCACAGCAGAGCTGTAAACAAAGTGAGGACATTGAAGAGGGCCTCACTATACATCAAAGACCTCACTTTRATAGTAACTATGGCGCAAATGGTCCTCCCTCTGTAGTCAAAACAAGTAAACACACCCACTCTAATATAATTTATATATTGTGTAAGAGAGTTGAGGGGATCTCAGCAGAAGATAAGGGAATGTTCAACTAAAAATKATCTGATARAAWAGACCAAACATGTGTGTCGTATRYTCTAAACAGAARTGTTTTATTCTACATGTTCTGCCATCTGCTTTCTGCACTCGTGACTTCACCACAGGAATTCTCCCTCTAACCTATGTTGGTATGTGTTGACTTTTATTGTGATGTTTGCAGATAAAGATAAGTTTGCTTCAGAAAGAAGCTGCTTTCAGCTCATTTGATGCCTCTGAACCAAATCATCTGTATCAACAAATCAAACCGTAATGATGAGTAATGATGAATGACTCCCCACAGCAATGTGAAACATCTCCAACAAACCTGCCCTTTATTTTCTGTTAACTTCCTTGTTCTTCCTCCTTATTTTGCTGCCACCTTTTTTTGTCCCATTTAACATTCCTTAATCTCAAAACATCTTTATAAAAGAAATGAAGAAGAAGAARAGCGGGAATAAGCCTGAGGATCTGAACAAAAACACTCCACAGATGACGGGATGTGTGAGTGATTGTGTGCCCAAATGTTGTTACAATAGATGTGTCACTCGTAGCAACGCCACGATTATGATTGGGTCGGCTGCTGTCTGTTGCCACGGCAGCGCGTGTACAATTCAGTGTTTAGGAGTCCCCCTCAGTGAGTCATCAGCTGTCCTCACAGCAAATTAACATCTTCGGCATGTTGACGACGACGTGAGGCCTCACACACAAAGGAAAAGTCTGCCGGCCTGTGTGTGAAACAGGGTGGGACGCAGCAGGAGGAGGTGGTGGGAGGCTTGTCTGAGGTGTGGACTGAGAAAGTGGGCGGGGCCAAAGTGGGCGGAGGGGTATTTTTTTTGTGTTTTTAGACTCAGAGCCTGAAATTAGTGTTCCTTGAGAGCGGGAAGGAATTAGACTTGAAGAAACTTCACAGCCGTCTAAGAGTAAGTCACAGTCTGTTCTTTTGCTTCTCTGTTTGGTTCTTTTTGACTTTAAAGCTGCTTCAGGGATGTTTAAACTGCATTTACTGTTTTATTTTCTTTTTTTTTTCAGAGAAGTTATTGATATAGATCAAATTAAAGTCACACGTTGATCTCTGAGCTTTGACATCAGCTTCAGTTTTCAACAGATGGGTTTTAAAGTTTGTTTTAGACAGATATAAAAAACATTTTCATTCATGAGGTTCTCCTGCATGACTCCATTATTTTCCATTTTGTGGAATTTCCATCAGACAAAACTTTTTTTTTTTTTTTTTTTTGCATGGAAACTCTGCAACAAGGCCAAATCTGTATATCCCTGCAGGGAAAGTTGGCAAACCTGCATTTTCTGGAAGGTTTTTTGTAAAAAAAAAAAATTAAAAAATAATAATAATCCAATTAATATGTTTTGAATGAACATAATCAGTTTTATATTTTCTTACATTAAAAGTTGTTAAAGTTAGTTGAATAAATCATTTGTAATGTTGTTATATTGTTTAGTTTRGTGCTCCAGGCTGAAATGACTCATGACAAACATTCGCAGACTAAATCTTTCCGTTCAGATGTAAAAGTTGAGGAAATGCTGCGGCGGGCCTGATCACATGCACACCAGCTCAGTGCCCCGTGTCTGCATGAGAGCAGTAAAGTTTGACTGACATGGATCATGCCAAAATATGTGTGTGTGTGTGTGTGCGTGCGTGTGTGCGTGAAAGGACCCAGCCCTTGACCACTCCTATGCCGAGGAAAGAACCAGCACATTCCAGACCTGACCTCTCCCAGTATGGCTTCACAACTGGACAAAAACAAAAACAGCTGACTTACTGATTTGATCTATATTTTTGTTTAAATCCACACAGCTTTGTAAAGGAGCCGAGTCCATAAGTCAGAGAGGCTCAGCTTGGTGGGAGAATAGTGTTTCCTACAGTTATTTTAGGGAGTGGCAGCTTTCCTTTAAGCACAAGACAAGCCCATACTCATCCACCGTCCATCAACGTCTCCACTTTACTTCTTGCTCTTCCCCTCCCCATCAACGGTAAATTGTTTGCACAAAACCCAAACTTTCCTCTCAACAATCAGCACCTCTGCACATGCCTCCCCTTCTACATATAAACACGATCCCAAACTCTATTTGGAGACTTTTTCATCGGAGCGTGTYGGCCGTTACTCACAGTAATTAGAAGTGTAGAGGCCACGCCCTGGGTTGGTGCGTTAAATGAGTCCAAAGGTCTATTTAAGGAGTGTTGACAAGAATGACATCTTTTCTTTCAGCTGCTTGTTTGTTTTTAGTCGCTCGTGAATTTTATCCATCATTCGAGTAAAGGTTTTCTCTGATTCTCTTTCCAGCATCGTCATCATGTTGGTCGTCCTCGGTGGGATCTTCGTCCTTCACATCGCAGCCATCATCCTCCTCCTGGTGGCCACTATTGACAATGTAAGTCAGATTGTTTCTTACGCTTAAGGTTTTGTGCAGCGCAGCATTTAGTCTCGTTCGGGAGTGATCCGTGCCTCCAGCAACATGACGGGGAGTTTCGCTGCTCAAACGCTTCTCGGAGGTTACCGGTCCGCCGTTTCTGTCCGGGCCACATAGTTGACATTTCTGGTTGACAGAAACGACCCTAGTGTCAACACTCATCTCTACATTCTGCACATGCAAATATCTCAGATTCCCTTCTGTGTCGTACAGAGTGTGGCATACCTGAGGATAAGGCAGCAGCTACAGGAGCTGTAACGTTTTGTTTGTCTGGGTTTTTCCTTCAGGCCTGGTGGGTAACAGATACCACATCCACTGATATTTGGGCTCGCTGGGTGAACACAAACGGAGTGTGGAACCTCACCGATCTCCCAACAGGCTCACATTACCCAACAGGTAAGAAGCATTTCACACACCACAGTTTAAAGCTGTGTATTCATTGTTTAAATGTTATATTGGTCTCTTAGTTTAAAAAAAAATCAGTGCTCCGCTTGTGTCCAGCAAACGTAACAAACTGCTTGAACTTCTAYTCATTAGGAGCACAGCTTCTTGTTATAGATGCTTTAATTATGAAATGATCAAAATCAAAGACAATAAGGAAGCGTTGATGTAGCGTGTATTAAGATTTTAGCGCTCCAGACCCAAAGCTATTTGCGGGGCCGGCCCTGGGCAAGATTTCAGGCGGTGCCTCTTGTGCAATCTTTTAAAGCTTGCAGCCAATTTACATCCATTCACATCCCAAATTATAAGGTTTTGTCTGACATTAGTTTTTATTTTCAGAAACTAGGTTGCCTAATTAAATTTTTTTTAATTAGGCAACCTTGTTTCTGAAAATAAAAACTAATATTTTAATTATTTTAATTTAAAATAATTAACAATATAATYCATTTGACAGAACACCAGACTTGCGTACCTGCAAACATCTGCAGCAGCAACGAGGAACATCTGTTCATGCTAAAAACAAAAGTTTTAAAATGTTTTTTTTCATCTCACATTTGTGGCACCCCTAGATGGACCCTTAGCATTTGYCTTTACTGCCTATGCCTCATCAGGGTTTTTATGATTGCTGGTTGGCATTAACTGTTCAGAATGCATCCTAATATGGACAAAGAGAAACAGTTTTTTCCTAAAGTATTTTMATGTTTAGTATGGGAAAAAATTTTTTATAAGAAAATGTATAAAAGTCATCAAAAATGGTTCAAACCTGCTTGTTTTTAAAGATTTAACACCTATTTTAAAACATAAAAGTTCAAACTCCTGCCATCCAGCATTTCAGTTTAATCTAAATCTTTTAAAAAGCGGCTCTGTGGAAAGGTCACAAACAAATAATGTCTCATAATAATGTAGATGACTCTTTGAACAACTTAATTTAGAAAAAAAGTTTAATTTGGACAATAATAATAAAATAAATACTAGTTTTGAGTGGAACAAAGACAAAAAAAACTTTAAAATAATGTTAATCTCAGAGACTTTGCAAAAAAAGAGTATTATTATACCTTCAGCATTTTATTTTTGTTCTGTCAGGAAAATTACAAGATAYAGGATGTGCTGCATACTGCACTGGGAGTGCTACAGCTAACTGCTATTTGTGCTTCTAAATCCCAAGAACAAATCTGTAAATGATTGTGTCATACAATGGCAGTAACATTGCTCTCTGGCTCCCCCTGCAGATTACCTCCAGGCAGTGCAGGCCACCTCTGTGCTGGCATGTATATTCTGCTGCATCTCACTCCTCGTCTTCATCGCTCAGCTCTTCACCCTCCCCAAGGGACAGAAGTTYATCATCTCYGGAGTTCTTCAGTTCCTCGCATGTAAGCGTCGAGTTGAAAAGGTTTTTGTCTCTGTGTGTCTCCCGGTGAKTTGCTTCACCCCAGCTGATTTTGTTTCCTCATCACCAGGCCTGTTCATCATGATCGCAGCCTCCATCTACACAGACCGCTTCCATATCGACGAGCGCACAGGTAACTACGGCCACAGCTACATCCTGGCATGGATCGCCTTCGGTCTCACCTTCTTCTCCGCCATCATTTACGTCGTGCTACGCAAGAAATAAGGACATTTGAACCAGCTGGCCCAGATGACTTTGTCTTTGTGTGTTTTTAGGTTTTTGCTGGAGTTACAGCCTCAGATCCAACCAGTGTTTGATTAACTGAGTCTGCTTTAGATGTAAAGTTCAAATATTGTAGGTTTTTGAAGCRAGACGCAAACTCAGTTAATCACAGCTGTAATTGAGTTTTATATCAGCCCAGAGTCGGGCTGGATCACTTCAGGGCATCTAACTTGTAAGAATATTTTTGTTGTTAAGTGACCARAAAGAGTTCTAGTGAGAGGACACAATGGTAACACAAATCTAAATCTCTAAGCTAAAATTGATTTTAAAATAAAGTACACTAACAACCAGGTTTTATTTATAGAATCTGTTGACCCAGCAGATCGTAAATAAAAYGCTTCTTCTTGATGTGATGAAAGTTTACTGCAGTTTAGTTACATAAAAGATGAGATTTCTGTTTTTATAAAGTATTCAAAGATCTGTTTGAGAAGACATTCTAGTATTTCTACAAGATTACTCAGGATTGGTACTATTCTTGTAAAGTGTTACCAAAATTCCTAGATTGTACCAAAGACACAGCAGTAAAATATGCTGTGTGTACAGTCAGATATGGACAATGTTACAGTAGATAAAAAGGGTGTGTTGTCATTTTAGATGCTGTTTATGCATTATTTTATTAATAGTTTATCATTTTTTTCTCCATACCTTCCAAACAGCTGTTGCCTTACTTTGTATAGTTAAAAGTCTTAATGAACATAAGTTTCTAGCAAAGGCGTAAAAATATAAATTAGTTTGTTCAAAAGGATCATTTTGAAGAAGAAGTCACTAAACAAAAGTTAGATCACACACATGTTTATTTTTTCTAAACTCCACTTCAATCAACCTAATAAAACCTGATTCTGGTAACATCACATCCAGTCAGTCGTTCACACACTAACGTTTCGATTAGAAAGGCAACTGCTTTGAATCTTTAAAACATCACCTGTAAATATGATTTATTTTCCCATGAGGTTTTATTTTTGCTATTATGTGTTCTAAATGACAGATATTTACAATATTAAAACTTCATTTTCATTAAAGACTGAGTTTGTTTATTTTATTTTGTTTCTGATGATTTACACGTGATTTGTAAAAGTATTCAGTCATTTTAATACTGTTTAGTTTTGTTTCCTTAAAGCAGTGGTTCCCAAACTATGACGGTAAGACACCCCCATAAGTTTATGAGACCCCATCCTCCATTGCATTTTATGTCACAACTCAACCATTTTTGGACAGTTAAAGTGATAAACGTAAATTGAAATAAATTACAGGTTGCAATAAAACCTCTTTCAAATAAAACAAACCACCTTTATAATATCATTTTAAGTGTATTTTTTACAGTGATAGTAAACAACATTGCTATCAATAAAATGAAAAAAAAAAAAGCCTCTATGTATTGTTATAGTACTTGAAACCGGTCTTGGTCTTAAGACCGGTCTCAAGACCACTTTTTGATGGTCTTGGTCTTGTCTCGGACTCGACAGCACTTGTACTCGGTCTTGTCTCGGTCTCGGACATTGTGGACTCGGAATTGTATTTCAAGACCAGTCAAGACCACAACTGTGGAAATATCACTAAACAGCCAGATTATTGTCCAATTTACGTATTAGTTAACATTCTTGCTTTCATTGGATTTAAAATGTAGCTACTGATTCAAATCCAAACCTGACTCATTGCTATTTATGTATTTTTGTTACCAGCTGTCACCCATCTGCACCCGCCGTCACTTGCATGCAGCACTCCCAGAAAGTGAACCATGGTTCTCTGGGAACGGTAAATGATGTCGTCAAATTTTTAAGTATAAAATTTGGCTGCTTTATTCAGAAATAATATCATTGTAAAACATCAACAACCAGGAGAAAGTGTACAGCAACTTGTWMATTYRGCAGTGCTTCAGTTTCAGARATGATGGGGACAACGTCAAACTTTTATCGTCACGAACATTAACGATCTGCCTCTGTAGCAAAATTCTTTCCTCTGCCCTCACACAAAGATTTTGTCAATATTAGCTCTACATATTAAGTTAGCCAAAGTGGGGGRAAAAAAGTATTTAGTCTGCGCCAATTGTTCAAGTTCTCCCACGTAATAAGATGAGAGAGGCCTGTGATTGACGTCATAGTTAGACCTCAACTATACAAAATACAACAAAATACTTTTTTCCCTCACTGTATATGTGTACAGAATACTCCATCTTTTAGGAAACTTTTTTTTCTGGTCTTGGTCTTGTCTCGGTCTCGCCCTCTCTCGGTCTTGGTCTCGACTTGGTCCAAACCCTAAAAGTCTTGGTCTTGTCTCGGTCTCGAGACACTGTGGTCTTGGTCTTGATTTGGTCTCAGGTTAGGTGGTCTTGACTACAACACTACCTCCATGGGWTTAAAAATGTGGAAAACCAGTCCATCATGCTAGCTAGCAGTGTCCAAGCATGCCCCAACATTGGAACAATCAAATAAACAAGGGTGTAGTGACAATCATTACTCACATCCATTTTTAAATATAACCTCACTCTTTAGTGACAACAAAGTCGAAAAAATGTTAGTCATTTTAAAATGCAATTAATTCTAAAAATCTTTTCAAGACCCCACCTTGATGTTTCAAGACCCACAGTGGGGTCTCGACCCCAACTTTGGAAAACACAGAATTTAGTTTGACTGTAATTCTACAAAAAAGATCTCTTAAATAATTCTATTAATCTTAAAATTTGTAAATGCATAAATTCACCCCCTTTGCGTTGAATTTCATTATCTTCAGAAGCCACATAATTAGTTAAATTAAATCCACGTGTACAATCTGTCACAACAAATCTCAGTATAAATAGGCAACTGTTGTTACAGCAGCCAGAATCAACTCTTCCAGGTACTAAAGGTGGGATCTCACTGAACTGCAGCATTCATGAGGGAGTCTCCAGAAGGTTTCGCAATTTTCAGGATGCTTCTCACCTAGAGGCACACAGTTCTATCACGAGTGTGAAACACGTTCATTCGCACAACAACTTTTCTATTCAAATGGTCACAGTCAATATGAAAATCTCCAATCCATCTCAAGCACACTAGATGTTCTTTGACAAAAAACAAACAAACAAACAAAAAAAAAACATCCAAGGTAAATGTCCCAGCCTAAAAACCACCCATGATAAATAATTATTTTAAAATGGGTCCAAATCTGCCTAACTTCTTCAGAAAAGTGGACCACAGCAGATCAAATCATAAACAATGCTGTGGGTAAAAAATAGTGAACTGAGGTGGGAATGATGCGAGTGAAGTTTTACAAGCCATACACATAAAAATAAGCTAATGTTTAAAAACTGGCCACTCAAAACATGTTCACACAACTCACTTGCAAACACTCAGAACTCTGTGAGGCTGCAAAGGAAAATTCACATATTTTTCTCCCAGTTTTGAAGCCAACTAGTTCCCAACAGCTGGAGCCCAATAAGACGCCACCTTAAAGGGTTACCACCAAGCAAGAGCGCTTGAAGGAACTTTTCAAAGTTGTAGAATGGTACAGATGAGGACCAGAGCATAAAATAATATTCCAGAATCATGAAGCACCATTAAATCTATTAGAAAACCAAAAGATGATGCCACCACGGCAAACCTGCCAAAAGAGTGTCGTCCACAGAAAATCATGGACCGGGTGAGGATTTTAATGAGAGGAGCTGATGAAGACCTTGATGAAGGTGAGGAAATAGAACCACTATAAGCTGTACAGAGAAGTGATTCATCGAAGAAGAKAAAAGCTGGACGGTTTGGAGTTTCTTTCCCAAACGTAGAAGATGTGGTCAGAGAAGACCAAACTTTAATGCCATCAAGGACATCATATCTGGTACAAAACTCAACACTAAACACCGTCTCTACCAGGAAGCACAGTCGTGGCTATGTTGATCTGGGGTAAGGTTTTCCATCGGAAGGGTCTGGGAAACTGTTCAGAGTTGAAGGAAAGATGGTTTGAGCAAAATGTGGAAAACATTCTTGAGGAAAAACTGAGAATTCCAGAGATTTGAGACCGGGACTGAGGTTCACCTTCCAACAGGGCAACAATCCTAAACACTGCTAAACATGCTCCACTGGTCAAAGGAGAACCAGTTGAATGCCCTGGACTTGCCTGGTCACAGCCGATCCGACCTGAAAGAGTTTGGAGGATGTAAATCCAGTTCAGAGCGGGCTGTAGTCCTCTTCCCGATCAAAACAATCCTTGTGTCCTGTTGTGTCATAACGGGATGGTACAGGCGAGGGTGATGGAGAGGGCAGGGACAGGCGGTGGTATGGGGATGAAGGTGCAGGGTGGGACGGGGGAAGAGGGAAGGTGTCAGAGAGTGTGAGAGGAAGAGACTGAGAGTGTGTGAGCCTCGGCGAGGAGGTGGGTGGTGAGGCAGCTGATGGGGGCTCGTAGTACGGCGACAGGTGGGAGATGATTGGGGCGGACAGCGGAGCGGACAGGCTGATGGCCGGGTTTGGAGGTGTGTAGTAGGGAGCCGGTGGTAGGAGCCCCACAAAGTTAAAGCTGCAGGGGTTGAGGTCGGAAGTGCGCCTGGGACCCACCATCAGGACCTTTTTGGTGTAGTTGTTGAGGGTGGAGACACCCGCTGCCATGCAGATAGTGAAGGCAAGCCAGGCCACGCTGATGGAAGACAAGAGGAACAACAAACGTGTTTACGTGTTTCTGTTGACAACTTTTATACATGCAAACATAGACTGGATGGAACATTTGATATTCAAATTCTGTTCCACTTAGGAACATTATTTTAAAACTGTTCCACTATTTCTAGACACTGTTTTTTTCGCAAACTGGTGAAACTCAATCCAACTTTACTTTTAAAATGCAGTTTCTCTAACATGCAGTCGTTACACTCGACCCTCTGCCTGTTACTGATTAATCTAATTAGTTTAAAAATGTTCCTTCAGCAGTTTCTTATTTGTACCTCTAACTTTTACAGCTATTTGTTGCCCCAGTCCCAAAGTTTTAAGATGAGTTGAGAAAAAGAACTGCCACAATTTAACATAAAAAAGATCTTGGCATGGGAACAGATTTTATGAGCCAAAAATAAATAAATCTGCCTGATGAGTCACAAGTTTGGATTCATTGATTTATAAAGATTGGGATCAGGATCAGTTGTTGCATTTAATTTATCTACCCCCACACAGATTGTATTAATTAACATTTATCTAAACCTCTCTGTGCATTAAAAACCACCAAAATGACACTTTGAATTCTCTTAAGCAATTCAAAGATCTTTTAAATTTTCTGTATTTTAAGGGATATTAATTCAGTTTTTTTGTGTAAATAAATATATAACAATTACACTGAAGGTACATTGATGTCTTAATAAAATAACGTGAAAAATATGTAAAACTGTCAAGAAGAGCAAAGAATTAAAATGACTCATGTTTTGTCTTTCTAACTCTTTCAGACTGCAGCAGATGATATAAACTATAAATCAGACCTGATTTCAGCAGGGTTCACTCTTCCAAAATAAAAGAGTAGTTCACAAATGCAGTTTCACGGTTAACAAATCTGTCCTTTCCTTCTGCCCCAACTCTCAATCAATCTTTATGAAAAACCTCCTGGTAGGTAAAAACTCAGATAAAATATAAAGGATCATTAATATTTGCCTCTAAAGAACACAACAGACCCTATCTGTCAACTTAGATTCTCTTAATGTGTGAATTCTTGTTMCATGGTGTAATTTCTGAGCTTTGTGTGTTTGTGTGAACTCACTAGAAAGCCCAGGAGTAGCCATAGCTGTGAGGTTTAAAGTCTTCTGGTCCCATTGAGGCAGTGGTCTGAAACACCTGCATGAACATCATGTGACCCACCATTCCAAGCAGTCCTGTCATGGAGGGAACGGGTCAATTACTATTTTAAAATCCTCTCACTGACCAAAAAAAAAACAAACAAAACAAAACAAAAAATGGAATGGTTCCAGTTTGGATGTATTTAGTCCACAAACATGATGCGATTTGGTTTCAGATGTCACACTGRCTTCATGTTGGAACCAGTGGGTACATGAGTGCACCCACTGTTCGTCATAAAGATTTAAGTAATGAATGATGGCGTCCATCTTTGGAAAAACTAGTCCTTGATCCAATATGTCTGCTGTCAAGATRGCAGCCATGTTCTGGACATGGCCTAAAAGGTAGGCCCCCTCACTCACTGGGGTATTCAGACAYGTCGTTTTCCCTTTTCTTTCAAAACTAAAAGGGCATCCTGCAACTGTTGACTCGTCCTGTATACTTTTTTGCCACCGAGCATATCATCATGAGCTAAGAACAGTTATACCTCCCAGGACTGTAAAGATGGCCGCAAAAGCGTTGAGCATCTGACCCCAGCGCAGCGTGGAGGGGAACCAGGCTCTGATGCAGAGCTGCACAGAGAGCAGAGTGCAGCTGATCAGCAGCAGGCCGATGTACACAAGCTCCATCGACAATGACAACCACATCATCGCTGTAATGGAAGATGGAAAAATACACCTGATGAGTTCACACAACCAATAAACATGGAGTGAAATAAACACTATAGTGAAAGGGACTTTACCTTTTTCATCTCCAGGAGTCAGTGTATAAAAGCCTCGACACTTCTCCTCTRAAGAAAAAATCTAAGTATCATAAAAATGTTTGAGCAGGTGGCATAAAAATTAAAGAATTAGATCAATGATTGAAGGAGTTCAGTCTATCACGACACCACAATCTAATTACTGTGTACCCAGACCAGGAACAGTTTGCATAAGGGGCTTTCTCCATGCAACGAAACCTGGCAGAAGATTATAGGATTTATTTGGTATAAATCTGGTAAGATGGGTGTAGAGAACAAAATACCAGCTGCACCACAAAATGAAATGCTTTTTGCTGCTGATTAGGGAGATTTCATTTCTTATTACATAAAAATACACATTTTGTTTTTTTAAAAAAAGACAAAATTAAACAAATGCACAGAAAACAGAAAAAGAGAGAGAGAGAGGTGGGGGCAGAAAAGCAGTTTCAACCTGCCTCCGTACTCAGTTAAGCTTCTTTGTGGCTTGATTACCAAACTGTTTACATGACAGTTCCAATCCTCGTTGTGCAAATCTAAATTCACTGAAAGACTTACAACCCGCACAAGAAAATTAAAATTCACCGGSTGACAAGTGGACGCTGACCTTTTGCATCAAAACATTTTACTTTGGTCAACTTGGATCTGTTCATATTACGGGAGCCTGGTGAAGGAAATGTTGTGACTGATGAACTGAATGTTAGATCCAGTCTTGTGTTTTACACTTTCTGATCATTGCAGCCACATGGTTTCAATAGAGAATGAGAGATGTCTTATCGTATGAGGCCTTACTGTCTGCATAATCCAAAACTGGTTCTAACATCAGACATAAAAGGTACCAGACCAGGAAGTCAGACACATGKTAARAAGTTGATTCATCATTATTTATGGAGTTTGTTAGTTACTGAGTTTGCAGTCTCTCCTTTAGATCGGTCTGGGGAATCCTGGGCTCTGGTAAGTTTTGCTGTCCTGATGAGGCCAAGGCCTCACTCTGATGCCTGACGGCTGTGTGCTGCTGGGCTGAATGGAGACAGATATGAGAATAAAGTCTTATAGAAGAGAATTAACCGGTTTTCTTCAATTTTTATTCAGACTTCTGTTTATTGATGACAATTTCCTTACACTACCTTTACATTTTTCCATATTAAAAAAGTTTTTTTACTCATAACTGTTCAAAAAGTGTGTTTTTTAAATATTTATTAGATTGTGCTGATCCCAAAGATTTAGAAGAAATTAAAGGTCCACAACAAACAAAAGCTAAAGACTTAAAAGGATAAGACTGTTTGTTCAAAGAGGGGCCAGCAAAATTACAGGTCATTGCCCCCCTTGGCCCTCCCTTGCTGAGGCACCTGACTCTTAATTAAACTGTTTTAATAGGGGTTCTTTTTACTGTTTTTTTTTTTCAAAGCTGCTGAAAGAATAGCATAACAATCTTGATGGAAACAAAACTTMTTTGGCCAAGCAGCACCACAGCTGCTTCACTGACCAAACAACATTTTTTGATTCATCTCCCATGTTCCACGACGCTGGGTTCATCTCCAATCAGCTGCAAATGAGACGATGCTAACCGAGCCCCTGTTGATGAATCCTGTTAACCTTTCTCTCTCTCTGGCTTTTAATCCATAATTGAGTCCTGATGTTGAGGTCTAAATCTCCGCGAGTTGAACTCACACTGGTACTAATCCTCTTTGAGCTGAGCGTGCATGGCCTCACACACACACAGAGATCTGTGAGGGCAGATGAGACCCCGGTTCATCCATCACCTTCCTGCAGCAGATTCCATGGAGCTACTTGTGGCACAGTTTTAACACAGTGTTTTGCTACTCAAAGCTTAATCAGAAAGTATGATGATGAAAAATTAAATCTGATTTTTAAATAATCACTACTTTAATCCTTTTTTAAATAYAAATCCAGTGCTGGGTCATTTATTCATTCATACAGCCTACATATAATCCCACTCAGGGTTATTAATGACATGTTTTTGTGACAAACGGAGCAACTAGTTCTACAGTTTAGCTCACAGTGGAAACACAACAGGGGTGAACTATTACCAGAGTCTGGGTCTATGCTGCAGTGGACATGCACCTGTCTGGGTTTGACCATTTACTGCTTGTTCAGCTCCTCTTCCTCACCCCATGTGTCAGCGTAGATGTTCTCCTCACAAATGACGAACAGACCCGTGTGAAAGGTGGGGAAGACGAAGCGGTCGTCCCCGGTCTCCCAGAAGAACTGGATATTGGAGGTGTTGGACACGCCGGGGACGGGAATACAGTGGGTGTGCTTGGTGGCCGTGCAGAGCGGCTTGGGCACCTTCTGTTTGCCCACGCACCAGAAGGAGGACATCAGGGCCACCGTGTTCAGGAGGAGAGACATGACCGTCTGGAAGAAGGAGAGTGAAGGAGAGCGCATCCTCTGAAAGAAGGCCATCATGTGATGGGCTGGTGGGACARTAAGGAGGGAGATGCAGAGAAGATGTTACAAAAAGTCTGAGTTAAAGCAGCTGTTACCAAAAATTTCAGCTTCTGATCTGTAAAATAACAGCAGGAACTTGTGACATCATCCATGGTATGTCAAAGTGTAAAAACATGTCTAATCAGAGAAACTTCATTTTGACAGAAATAAACACTGAATGACTTCACTGAAACTTGATGAAGAAGTTGAAACTGAGTTTAAGCTCAAAGAAGCAAAACACAAGCTGAAAGACAAAGACAAGCAAGTAGGAGTCTCTGCGGACGAGTGCAGACGAGTGGGCGTGTCACAAGGAAAGGTGATTCTAAAGCGACACACCTGATTTGACGGACTTTGTTAAAGGGACACACCTGACTGGACAAGCAAAAAGGGGGGCGTTACCGTACAGCACCACCTCATTGGACAAGAACAAAAGGGGTGTTACTGTCCGGCACCACTTTTTCTGGAGAACCCTACTTGGGTCACATTTCTCCTGGTTAACCTTAGTGTTGGGGTCAGGGTCAGGCTGTAAAGAGGTCAAGCAGGGTCTAAGGATACCGTCATGTAGGCCTCGTAGGCCACAGTGTTTATGCTTTTGACACGCCCACTCTTGTGACACGCCCACTTTCTTTCGGCAGATAACCCCTTCTCAAGACAAGTACAAAAGTAGCTAAAAATGAGCTAAATTCAATCTAAAAGTCAAAGAAACAAAATATTTTCTAAAGGTGGCAAGAGGCTAGAAACTAAATATAGCAAAAGGCTGGCAAAAAGCACATAGGTCCAGCCAAAAGCTAGTAGCCTAGCATAAGCTAAAAGCATCAGCATGCTAGCTAAATGCTAAAAGCAACAAAGTATTAGTAGCTAAAAGTAGCAAGAGGCTGGCAAAAACACAAATAAAAGGCTAGCTAAAAAGTAAAATATATAGATGCTAACTAAAGGCTAAAAATAGCTAGCCTTTTGTTGAATATTTCAATATATGAATGGCTGCCAATAGATAAACTGCCAAAACAAAAACAGGGAAACATTAAAATGGTATAAAATAGTAACAAAAAAATAAAATAAAAAATCAAATCCAATCTCAAAGCACTCAAAGCAGTCCATGTTAATAAAACATTTTATAAAACTACACCATCATCACACGTCAAGTTGTATGGATTTTCTGTCAATTTGCAGATGTAGAGCACAGATTTTTTTTCTTCAAAAACTCAGTTTCACATTTATTCAACATGTCAGCGCCTGTAGGACGTAAAAACACCCCCAATAAATAACATTAAATAACCATCTTCCAACCCGCTCTGCTGCTAGAAATAAGCCTTATTTTGCCCAGTTTTGCTGCAGCCTGGCGCGGTCACCCCCCCCGCGTGTGATTAATACAAACTTGAGGCTCATTAGGTAAACRTCCAAAGGGATCACAATGTTTTGTTTGTATTGTAATGCAATGATTATTTACAGGCACAATAATAGCAGCTTTGACACTAATGCTGCAGCCAGTAGTAATTTCTGGTTAATGTCTCAGGACCCTTAAGTAGTTTTTCACGGCCCACCCACAGTGAGGTGTTGACACCAGCTTTGGAAACCTCTGAATTTTGACTCAAATCCATGTCTTTTTGAGTGTCACTAAGAAAGTCCATCTGCACGTTGTGAGTTTCCAACAAGAACGCCACAATTAGTGAGACATGACAGAAATAACTGACGAGGAGGACTCAGTGATTTTACATCAGAGACTAAAAGATTACATTAGCTCTAGTAATAACTAACTGGAACTTATATGTTTAAATTAGAAGAGAAAAAAAACTGTCACCATGAATGCTCTATAGGAGAAAAATGGAATACCCAAGTACTAAGACAAATAAATAAAACAAAGAAATAAAGAAGAGTACTCGCCTCCTTCAGCCTTTATCTTGGTTCTTCTTCATCAGACTGTGGAATGAGGTGAGGTCCTGGTCGGCACGATGAACTTCTGCTGGGCCCGTCGGCTCAGCAGTCAGAAACACAAACTGTGAGTGGATCAGTGAAACACACACATCCTATCCTTTAATCCTGACTTATAATCAAATCCAAAACAGACAGCTCTGTTCCATCTGTTTTCATTTTGATTCCTAGACTCATTTTTGATCCATTTCATTCAAAGTTTTTCAGCCTGTAAAACCACTCAGACCTCTGATTTGACCTTGACCCAGTGAGGAAAAACTGGATGAACACAAATATAATTGGTTTCATATAATCTATACGACTAAAGGCAGTGTTTAAAAACACTGTTTAAAAACAGTGTTTTTATTTATTACGTTGTTTAACACCACCTATAGTTGCATATTTTGTGCTATTGTAACTGCTCATTTATCAAAATCCATCCATCCATCCATTTTCTGTACACGCTTCTTCCTTTTCAGGGTTGCGTGGGTCACTGGTGCCCATTTATCAAAATGTTCAAGTCAATCTRGTGAGGATTCTATATATTTTTTTCATAACTTTTAAAAACATCCCTTTTAAAATAAATCGAGATGTGTTCAAATGCTTCATAACATTAATCTTTTTAAATTCTAAGCATACTTCTAATGCCATGGTTAATGTCATTAACTTTTACAGTCAATCCAATTCAAGATGGCCGCCACAACTGTCCTTTGAAAACACAAAAATGACTATAATAGTTAGTTCTAAAGTCTCTGTGCTAGCATGTTTGAAGCTGATTGTTATTCATAAGAACACATWGCGCTACACAGTGTGCAACATCTTTAAGCTTTGGAGCCAACCCTGTTTGTTTAAACATCTCTGGAATCACTGGACAGATCTTCCAGAAAGTTTCAGGAAATAGTCATTAGGATGACATCTGCATATCTACAACTGATTAATCTTTGGARTACACTTAATTCAAGATGGCTGCCACATCCAATCAACCTTAAACACAAAAATGGTTTAAGTCAGTCATTTTTTTATGATATTGAATTCGGTGTGGTAGTCACCGAACATTAGCCTCAACACGATCTTGTGTGATGTTTTGAGATGTCACCCTGGGAGTRTGTACTGACAATGACTCTCAGCTTCACACCTTCAAACTTTAGCTCAATGTCTGAAAAATTAACCAACTTGAAGCCTTTTGTGCACATTTTTTTCAGGGCTTAACTAAATGACTTCATAATTTCTCAACATAAAACAGTTTAAAATTCTGGTATTAAAGGCAGATATAWATAATTTGTGCATTTGTGTAATATCGGTTATCGGCCATAACAGCAATATTAACAWCAGATTTCCCCCAAGGTCAGACTGTGCAGTGCTCCATTTCAGATTCTACACATTTTACTTGGGTTTAAACCACAAAACTTMTGGAACAAGAACCTTTGGACACATGACACCAAAGGTTTACCCACAATGCACAGCARACAAAACAGAACTGAAATCATTAGGTGGTGGAGGGGTGATGATTTGGGCTTGTTTTATGTTTTGGCACCCTGCAGTCATCATGTCGCTCATTAAGTCCTCTTTAGACCAAAGTATTGTAGTAAAATGTGAGTCTGTTCATCTGACAGCTGGACCAGGACCAACGTGGRTCATGGTAACAGAACAATGATCACAAACAGCAAAACTGCTACAAAATGAATTTAAAAAATAAATTCAACAACACCACAATCCAGTCAAAGCTGACTGAAAAGCTCTGGTGGGACCTTAAGAGGGCTGTGCAGAAAGAAATGTCTTCAAACTGAACTGAAGCAATGCTGCAAAGACGAGTGGTCCACAATTCCTCCACAATCAAGAAAAAACACACCATGACTATAACAATCACTTCTAAAGGAGGTTATAATGTGAATCATGAGGCTTTGTAGAAAGTGTTGCTTATTTTGCACTTGAGTTTGACCAGTTTTAAAATCTTAGTCAAAATTATTTTATTACATTCTGATACATAAAACTAGATTTAAATAAGGTGGACTTGCACTTTTTCTATGACTGAGATTTATTCGCATGAAACTGCAAATCAAAACAGCAAATAAATGTGGGGGGGAGGGTCATAAGAAAAAGAAAGAGTTGAAGCAAGTTTAGGTGTATTCATAATTCATATACATATWGACAGGTTTCTAATACAGCATGGTTTTGATAGAGTAACCGTCATCTTTCAGCTTGACGTTTTTTCAGTTTTTTTTACAAGAATAACGATAAAAAATGACAAAGACGACACCATGTATGACTCACTTTAAAATTTGATGGCAACAGTTTTTGCATCTTTCCGAGTCTTTTGCCGCCACGTGGCCCACTTTCCAATGTACTTGGTTCGGCTCGCTCCACATTAACCTGGGATGCATTTTTCGTAAGACAGTGTTCCAAAGTTCAGCTCCATCACTGTCTGACAAAGTCCCACGGGGTTTTCAAACGTAACTGTTCGTGCAGATCGTAGTTTCAGCTCCTCGGAGTCCTGCGTGGTTGAAACTGTTCTCTTACACATTAGTCTGTAGTGTTCTCTCCGTCTTTGAACCTTATGAACATTTTGCACTTGAAAAATAAAACCGTCCATCTGTTTTTTTTTCATGATTATTATCTGTACCGTAAAAACTCCAAGTGATGAAAAATAAGAACACTTTTCAAAAAGGACCAAAATGGAACCAAAGACCCAGATATTTCCTCTCTCACTCTCTCTCTCTCTCACACACACACACACACTCATTTTGCACTCATACACAAGTTTTTCTTCTTTTTTTTTTGTGGTTTTTGTTTTCTTTTGTTGTGATTTTTTTAAAAGGCAACAGATGTCCATTCTCCAAGGCAATAATGTCTTTGTGGCAAACTGGACCCTGACATTCCAAACATCATCTCTCCGGCTCTTCTCTCACCAGGAATTAAAAAAATWAAATAAAATTTGGAAAAAAAAAATCCAACTCATGCATTGACTTAATAAAAAGCGAAATACATCGTTTCATTCTCATGAGTAAATACTGATGCGGATACAGTAATAATAATAATAATAATAATAATAATAATAATAATAATGAGGACTAAAATGATAACTGGTCTTCCTAACACCACAAAAGATAAAATACTCCTCGTCTTTTCATTTCTGGGTTTGACACTGAATTTGCTCCCAATAAATCTTAAAGCAAACAAACAAACAAAAAACAAAAAAACAAAATGATGAGTTGAACACTTTAACCCTAGAGAGGAAGTTTGTTTCTTTTTGTTCTTTTCAGCAAAGTTGCTTTAATTCCTCCTCGTCTCATTTCATCCCATTTTGATCGTTGCAGTGTTTTTTCCTTGCAGCTACGTTCCTCTGCGTCATTTGTCCATGTTGTTTTTTTTTTCACTTTTAAGTAAAGAGAACCAGTTCTCAATTTTTTTTAACAAAAAAAGTTTTTTCTACGTCGTCTTAAACGTAAATAATGCTGATTCCATTTGATAAATTGTACATTCCCTTAAATTGTTCTCCGTGACAAAACGCCAGTCCAGTCCATTTTTTTCCCCACATTTCCCTCTCATCTTCAGAAGTCCAAGTTAACCTGAGAGACAAAAAACAAATGTTAGGAGTTTTTCAAAACAAGGCCTTTATCATTTTTTGGTATCAAATTCTAAAGGAAATAAAACAACCAGCCACGTTTTTTAAAATCTAAATTGATAGTTGAAAGAAGGAATGATACACAGTTTCAATCTGAGGTTTCTTCACTAAAAATGTTTATATAGAAGACTTGTTATACATTATGAATGTTAGTGGTCAATGATGCAATCACAGGCTGAGAAAAATGTTGAATTTTAGATTGCACCCTTCACAGGGTAAGTCAGATTTAAGCCATTCTAAACTGAAAATAATCTGATTACAGCTGAYTGGTTATATTCCAGAATGTTTTGTTAAAACACAAAACATGTTTTGCCATTATAAAACCTAAGCACTCCATTAAGTCTTTTATTTGCGTGCTCCATCAGAACTGCCAAAATCGTCTCTCACTGACGGAGCTGAGTGATGAAAATTATGTCATTTTGTTCATAGAAGCTTTGCCCGTTCTTCATGACACAAAGCTCAGTCTGAACTCTTTCTCAGTTTTCTTGGATGTATTTGTTTAAGTGGAAAAGCCATCAGACAACAATGGCGGCATTTCCTTTTAAGCCGGACGTTCTGCTTCCACACAACCTGGACAGTTTTGAGGAGCAGTAAGAAGTCAGAAAGTACGTGCATCTGTATGAATCTTATAAAATGTCAAACAGTCAAAAGCTCCTGGATGGAGAGAGCACACACACATTGTACACAGAGGAGTCCATCTGCTGTCTGTGTGGCGCTCTCTGTGTCAGATTTGTGGCCAAACAGTGGATATCGTAATACAGGCCTCTGAAAGCAGTTTATTTAGCAAAAAGATTAAATAAAATAATATGTAAATAAAACACTGCACCGATTTAATGTTCATTTAAGTTTAAAAAAMAACAACAGATGAGCTTTAACTTACAGCTCCCAGACTCTGGTGTCTCCTCTTCCTCACCGTTTCTCTCAGCCTCTCTCTGACTGCTCCACAGACACTGGCTGGGCTGGCTGGATGCCTTGGCTAAACTACACGTGGAGGAAAAAGGAAAAGACAAAAGAGAAGAGGTTCAGGCAGGAAATTAGTGGTAAAATATTTCAGGAGAAAAGTCATTTTTGGTAAACTAAGCAAAGCAAAACGAACCTTTCCTTCTTTACCTTGTGCTTCGGACACCTCAGTGAGAAATTATCTTCATTCAGAGAACAATCTGGCAAAGGACAGCAATAATTAATAAAAAAAATAAACACATTACTTAGCAAGAAAACAGGTGTTTTTCCACACCTTCCTCCCCTTCTCACCTGCTTCTATAGCACATAGGTAGTGGTAACGAAGTGTGCAGCCTTTACTGTAGCAGCCCAGGGTTGAACCAATCATCTCACAGTATGAGCAGCTCTGATAAGAAAAGAAAATGCGTTAAATCAAGAGATGCGCTTAACGGGATCTCAAATCTGAAACCAAAACAAGTTCATTAAACGCAGCGGACACTCACTGTTTCTCTGGCACCATCTAGTGCCTCCTGTAAACCGTACAGTCTCCCATTGACGAGGTAAACACCACTGGTCCACACTATACATCCTTCATGCACCCACAGCTCTTCTGGGTCCATGGGCATCTGAGGCAGCTGTGCGAGTTGTGCCAAGGGTCCCAGGGAATCCAAGGCAGGAGGAGGGGGCTGGAAMGGCAGGGATGCTTTACTGTTGGATGGCACCATTCGGGGGGATTCCTCGCTGGACTTGTGCCTCCGTTTAAAGCGGGGATGTGAAGTCAGCTTTCTGTGCTGAGGCCGCTGCTGAGTGTCATCCGTCGGCTGTTTGGGCGCCTGCGCTTGGTCGCTTTGGAGGTCCGTCTCCCGTTTAAGCTCAGGGATAGGTCGAAGGGAATGATCTCCATCCCAGCTCAGAGGGGTTTTAATGGTGGTGGAGGAGAAAGGTGACGAGGTGCTGCTGCTGCAGCTGCTGACTGTCTCTTTTCCAGCTGAGAAGGCAGATCTGATTGTAGGGGGGAGAGGTGCTGGGTTTGAACTGATGTCAGTGGCACAGTCACTTTCTGCTGAGGCCTTGGAGAACTGTTGAGCTTGTGTGTCTTGGATAACACTCGTAGCATTTGAGCTTGTGTCTGAGTTTGGTCCAGTTTTGTTTGTGCCGGTGGTGGCCTGACACTGTCTGATCTGAGGCTGGTTCTTGGGGAGCTTTGCAGCATATTCAGCTGGATAGAAAGGCCCGTAGAGATCTCCGAGGTGTTTGTAGTTCGCCCACTTCTGACACAGGCAGCAGAGCAGGCGGCCAGAGTGATTGGTTTCTGTAATCACAGGGCCTGAAACAACATAACCAGATGAAGGAAGCGCCTTTCCTGACTGAAGTGTAGTTTCCACTTCATCTGCCTCCCATTTTTCTGCTTCTTTGTCTCTCCTCGATAACTGGGAGGAAACAGCCGAGGAGAGGAGAGATTCCGTTCCACCGGTTTTCCCTCCGACTGCACCACGGTCCCCTTTTGTCTTGTCCTCCTCGGCGTTCACAATAGAACACACCGCTCCAATCTCTGGAATTTTTTTCTCCACATGTATGTGAGGGATAAATATGCCTTTTCTGTTAGGATCCACGAAAACTCTGTTTGTTGTCAAGGCCGCTCCAGCCTCTGGGGGTGTATCTGGGTCACCTTTGGTCATCAGCGGCGGTGCTGTAGTCACTGCTCCTCTCCTCCTCCTTCTCTGGCGCCCCCTCGTTCCTAGTGGCATATCTCCATCTTTTGCTCCTCGACGTCGGCGTCGAGCCGGCTTCACCTCAATCTCTGGCTGCGTGTCCTCACTCTCAACATCTACCTTCACCACCTGGGTTAAAATGGGCGGGGCTAGCGAAGGACTGTTTGTACTTTCAGCTGGAGTAGGCTCTGTTGTTGAGGGTAACGTGCTGCTGTTAGTCTCCACTATCGGTGGGGTCAAAGCAGCTGCCGGAGTTGGAGTGGGCGGGGCTGGGGGATCACTTAGAGGCGTGCTTGGAGTCTGGACTTGTGCCTGGGCCTGTGGTTGGCCTTGGTTCTGAGCTCGCTTTTGCTTATTCACACTCCCCACGGGTCTGCCCTTTTTCTTGCCAGATGGGAAATAACCCTTGGGCACAACACTTTCTAATGGCTTTGAATCTTGGGGAGACAGACTGGACCTTCCAGAGGACATCTGATGCTGCCTGCTCAGCATGTGTCCTTGATGAGGCGGGGTGGTTCCGTAGTAGTCACTGCTGGGGTAGTCATCAAATCCCATGCCGGTTTCTTGAAGTTTTTGCCGGAGAAGGTTGGCAGCAGACTGTTCTCCCTTACGAGTCTCGAGCTGCTGGTACGTGTTGGTGAAATGCTGAATGTCCGACAGGGCAGATGAAGAAGGAGGCGGGGAAGCTTGGACGGGGCGGGGAAGAGGTGGAGGAGGAGGTAAAGGTCCGAGCAGAGCAAAGTCCTCCTTATCACCAGATGCTGATGTCACACCAGCCCCTAATCCGAAGTCAAAATCTTGTTGTTTGAGGATTTGAGATGATTGATTGGAATCACAAGGATAAACAGGTGGAGGTAAAGGTCCAGTTTCATCAACTCCTCTGAAGGGAATCAGGTCGTTTAATGAATGACTGTCATCCATGTAACTCTCTTCTCCTGCTGTAACTCTGGGGAAATGCGCCAAGTCTTGGTCWTGTGAATCATTGAATCTTGGGATTTCTGAGTGTGAGAAGGCCGAGAAATGATTTGACTCATCATCAGTGTAGCCTGTCGGTTTTTTAATATTGGGGGTGATTTTTTGCACTATCGCCTCTAGCTTCAAACCTCGTCCTTTTCTGGCAGAAAGAACCTTTGCGTTGCCGCTGGGTGGAGACAGGGGTTGTAGGAAGGTGTTCTCCCCTGGCAGAGGGGATGAAAGTCGGGGACACGGCACATCCGAGCTGGATGAGTCATCTTCATTGTGATGATGGCCAGACTCCGACAGAGCCCCGGGGGAGTGATGAGAATTTGTGGCAGCTCTCTGCTGGGGTGAATCTTGGTGTAGTCTTTTGGCAGGAATGGGAGAAATAAATGAGCGAACCTTCCTTCTTAACATCAGAGGATTCGTGTCTCCTGATCCACAAGATTTTGCTGGACGCTGTGGCTGAGTGGAGTTTATGTCAGCAGGGGGTTTTGCGGAGCTGGAGGCAGGAGGTGGACAGGGATGTTTGGCCCCTTCTGTAGCACCTCTAGAGACTTCCAGTTCGTTTTGACCATGAGCTGCATGCAAAGGAGCTTGTGGACCTACAGGAGCTGGAGCAGGAACGGGGGAGGGGGGAGGAGCTTGTGTTCTATAGTAAGTGTCGCCTTCAATCATTCGAGCCCCCTCTCTTCCTTGGTGTGTTGAGTCCCACATCTTCATATCGTAGTAAGCACTTTGATGATGAAGTGAATGAGGTTTGCTTTCACTTGGTACATCAGTTTGGGAGACACCTCTGGGTTTCTGCTCCAACTGACTGCCTTTATGTCTTCCAGGAGAAGAGCTGAGCTGCATCATCATCTCCTTCGAAGGCCTGCTCATTGCTTTCACCCAGTCACTCATGTCGTGGGGAGCATGAGGGGGGCCGCGAGGATACATCTGAAGCTTATTTGTGCTTTGAGCCTGAGGGGGTAAATGGTGGTACGGGTGAGGAGAGGGAAAACTGCGAGACATGCTTCCCTCTCTCGTTTCCCCATATCGATATCCAGGAAATGAACTGCCACTTCCAGCTGATAGATCGACACCGTGAAGATATGAATGATGCCGTGGTGGTGAAGATAAAGCATTTGTGCTCAATGAATGAGAGGGCATGGGGATAATATCGACGCCGCCTCTCCTGTAGGGGTCAGCGCTAATTCCACTTGACGAATGGGACGGCTTGGAAAAAAACTCAATGTCTGCTTCATTTACCCCTCCACCGCCGTGATTACGCTCAATTTGTAGATTTACAGGTCCTGCTCCGATGTCTTTTGAAGTCATTTCCATTTTCACAACATGTTTTTCTCCTTTATCTCTTTTGCTAAGATCACTGGGCGCAGCTGGAGAGGAAAACGACTGCTGAATCACAGAGGTGCTGCTTTGACTTTTCTCCTGTTCGGTCCCCCTGCCTCCCTCCCTGTCCCGCTCCGGTGTGCTGCTTCGGTTTGGCGACACGTCACAGATTACAGAGCGCCTCTCTGATGTGGCCAACCCAGAAATGGATGACTTCAGAGGCTTACTCTGACCAGCGGCGTTCGTTAGTGGCTCCGGCTCTTGCAGGAGGAGCTCCTGCACGGCAGAGGAAGCAGTAGTCACATGAGGTGTTTTTCTGTGTGTCAGGGAGTAATCAGACAGGTTGATATGCTTTGCAGGAGGTTGCTGAGACTCTGCAGCTTGTAGTAAATGACTCTGGGATACAACCACATCAGGTTTGTCAGTATTTTGAGGAATTTTAGCACTGGACATTTCTGACTTCACTAAAGAATCTGCAGAAAAATCAGGCACATGTCTGTGTTTCTGCTTTCCAGAGCGACTCATTTGAGCAGAATAAGCAGAACTCTCTCCGTGCATCCTTGTACTCTCAGCCATGTCGAAAGCGTTTCTGGTTGAAAACTGCTGCTGAACTTGATGATGTGCAGAAAACGCCTGCTCTGGTCTCACATAGCGTCTGTCTAAATTGTAACCTTGAAGAACTTCTTGCAAAAGGCTGGGGAACTGCTGCATCTGTGAGGTCTCCTCCTGAGATTTAGCTCCCAGCTGACCTTTCTTTGCCAAAGCCTCGAGCCCAGAACCTGCATCTTTTGGGTGTGCGGGGCCGTAGCCAGTTTGTGAGTGCTGGTACGATAAATATCTGGGATTTGTTTCCATTACGCCCACCGAGCCAGCCCTCACTCTGTTCTTCATGGACAAATCTGAGCCACATGTTGATTCCGGATAGCTGTATTTATGTGATCCAGACAGTGGGGGATTCTGCGACCTTCCAGAGTTTGATTTCTGATGGTGGGAGGAGTTCAGACTCAAATCGACACCTTCCTCCCCGTTATGACTGCTCGACTCTTTTAAATAAATACTTAGCCGTTTCTCTTCTACACAATTATCTTGGGAATGTCTATTTCTTTCAGTGTAACTGTCCTCAGTACGAGCTGAAACAATCACACCAACACTACCAGTATTCTGCTGCTCCTCTAACCCATCTTTTTCCTCCCTCTTTTTATTGTGCGATTTACATTCAGAGTGTAACATGTTTTCCTTGTCCTGGCCATTTTTTGTTCGCTTGTCTCCATCTTGCTGTGTTTGCTTGCTGAGACTCTGGGTTTTCTCAGCTGCAGCATCACTTTCAGTCTTGATTGCTCTGCCTCTGTGGCCACCATGTGTCAGACCAGATTCTGGGACACAATTCTGCGCCGTGGCAGGAGGAATACTAGAGGAGGTGGACGACGGGGAGGAGGAAACAGGAGGTGTTGATGGAGATGACGATGATGAAGGAATGTGAGTTTCTTTTGTTTTTGTTTCCGTGACAACTGCTTCCGCTGACTGTGAGTTGGAGGGGACAGTTTTTGAGGCGTGTCCTGTCTGTGTTTGATTATAGCCTGTTGCTTCTGACCCACTGCTTGCACCACTCATCTGCCTCACTCGAATATGTTCTGCCTCAAAAAACTGCTCCTCTCGTTCTTCTTTGGTCCCTAATGAGCCTCCAACAGGAATCACAGAGGAGTCTTCATCAGGACCAGCATCTGAGCTCCCACCCTCACCAGCTCCACCTCCATCTTTAGCACTCGACGCTGAGCTTGCGTTCTGACTCTTTGGTTGTGACTGGGGCATGCTGTGCACTGCCTGTTGCCCGCCATCTTTTTTCYTGTGTGAGAACACGGTATCAGTGATGAGCATGTGCTGAATTGTGTTTGGTAAATTGGCTACTTGTGAGCTCAAGGCATTAAGACTATTCAGGCCAGCATCTTGCGTCTTGTCAAATGAAGAAAGCGAGTAAACAGAGGGGCCTTCGTCTCGAGATTTTACTCCAGTGGCTCCCGTTTTGTTTCGGCCAATCGGAAGAAGGCCGGACCCTCCAACTGCGGTCAGGCTGTGAGCTTTATGACTGCCACTGCTACCACAACTACTGATGCTGCTGTTGGAGTTGGGGGTCGGACTTAACTGAGGCGCGGTCTGCAGTAACCGAGTGTGGCTGTGGCTGCTACGGGCATTTGATGATGGGTGTGAAGGACCGTGACCTGCGGGGTTTCCATGTGCCTCTGAAGCACCCATCAAAGGGGAGGGAGAGGAGCTGCATGTTGGGGAATGCACTGCAGAAGCAACTGGAGAAGGATTGGATATGGGGCTAAAGTTTTGATTCATCTGCTGTGCGTTAGGATGCATCGGGGATTTCGATACTTCTTGAGATGCTGCTTGGGCTATGCTAGGATTGGGGGCTGGATGATGTTTAGCATAAACGGAACCAGGGGATGGACCCTGATGGGACATCTTAAGGGAACCGTCGTAACCTACTACTAAGCTGTGCTGTGAGTTGCGGTGCTGTAGTGTGGCTTGCTTCTGAAGTGAATGAGCCTGTGGGGGATATCCAGGATAATTTGAAGCATGGTAACTCTGCTGAACATTTTCCACTGACCCCATGTTGTTAGCAGCAACTGAAGTAGAGACTGAATTTGAACTGGCGTTGACACTAGGAGAGCTGTTGACTTTGGGATCGAACCCTGTGTTTGMAGCTCCATCAAGATATCTTTGTAGTGGGGGGCTGTACATTCCCGATGACCCCGTGGATGGCCCTCCCGGTGGGGAGTAATGCGGGTACTGTGGAGTCATCCTGTGCCCAGAGTGTGAGTAGCTCCTATGCTGCTGTCCAGGGTGGACAGCTGGAAAGGTCTGCCCATGTTGGCGCTGTTGCATCTGAGAAGCTGGCACTGACTGCATTGCAGCGTTCTGATTGATATTGTACTGATGAGAAGGAGAGAATGCTCCGGCACCTCCACCTGAACCAGCACCAGGGCCATAGTCCACTGGGTATGGAGATATCAGACCAGATGACGAGGCAGCGCTAGACCCGGTGTGCCGGTACTGGTGAGGTATATGTCCATCAATATTAGGGTATCCAAACCCTCCCCCAAAACTCATAGCCCCCCTTCTGTGTCTGTCCTTTCCACCCATAGAAAGATAATATTCCATAGCCTCCTTCCTGTAGGGGTTGTTGTTGTTGCCGCTGTGAATGCTACCCTGTGCTGGCGGCTCCAAAACGCCTCGGTTTCTTGAACCGTATGCGAGCATGTGGCTGGCTTGACTCGGGTGGTGAAGGCCTCTGTGCAGGCTCTGCTGCTGCATGCTGACGTAATCATCCGTCATCCTGGGAGAGATCTGAGGCTCTGCTGGCTGAGGGGTATATGGAGGTCCGCCCACACTCCTCCCGCTAAAGCCAGGGGGGATGGGGGGTGGAGCTGGACTGTTAGAGAAATTCTGCATTATTCCCCGCCCCCTTTCAGATTTGGATTATAACAATTAAAAAAAAAGTTAAAAGGATAAAAATATATAGCTGTCAGAGTTTATATCAGGGAATGATGTTGATGGAAAACTGGAAGGCTAATGGCAGTATCTATGAAGAGAGTCCACAGCCTGGCAGTAAAACAAGGGCGAGCTGCAGCAAGATAAAAATATATATAACAGATGTTTAAAACACTTTTTCTTAATAATGGAAAAGGCCCTTTTTTAAAATTACATTTTTTGTTGTGATCGCAAGCTTCTTCTTGCTTTTAGTAAACAAAAGATATGTAAAGTCAAATTTCTACTTTAAAAAAATGTTAGAATAAAAATGAGCGGTCATTTCCACAAAGATAAAACAATTTGGCACTGAGAAGGCAATGATTTCATGAGCCTCATCACCAGGAGAAATCTTCAACTTTAAATGACTTCAAGTGGATACACTCAGTATATGACAACCGCTCAAGCGGGCTGAGCTGTTTCAGGAATAAAATAAGGTGTGATCCAATTTTAGAAAACTGCTAAACTCCCCAAAAATATATCAAAAACACCATTAACACCGATCTGTGTTACAGGCATCCTTCAGTTTTTCAAGTTGTGCAGGTTTCTCTGGATCTGACTCACACCTGCATGAGACAAAACCTCCAGTAACAGAATCAAACACTTTGAATGTAGATCCTCACTTATCAGTCCAGGAGGCAAACACTTCATGGATATTCCCATCAGCTCTAGGGCGCGAAGGCAAACACAATGCGTGAATGATTTTTGCTCTGAAGAAGGATTTGGTCCCCACTTGAGTAACGTTTTTGTTTCGACGTGGTCCAAGTTCCTCCTGCTTCTTCAGCATTTAGTTGCTTTTTAGCCTTTGTTCTTGTCAGTCAACCACCATTTAATTGCAAATGGCTCCATGGCAAAAATAAAACAATATCCCACCAAAAAAGGATAATCCATTTATTCCATTTCAGGTTCCATCAACTCCAGCTTCACTCTTCAGTTCTTCTCGAGTAATTCCACGTCTATAAAGTCCATTATTCCTGGAGCTGCAGGCCAACCATTTCCTCTGGAAGAAAAGAAAGACAAATTAAAAGTATTAGTAAGAGTTTGTTGCAGTTGTGGCCTATAAATAATAAGAAAACCAGTTTTATCACAAGATAACCATGAGTTGCAATTCAGTGACTATATTTACCAATAAACACTACAGTTTCAGTAGACATTCACAGCACTTTCTGTACTTAAGCCTAATTAGTCAAGATTATATAATAATGAATTTACCTGCAACTACTTCCAAATAACATAACACATGTACAGCTGCATAATGAATTAAGACACTTTGGCGATTCTTGAAGTGATGTTCTGATAATAGTACCTTTTCAGCCAAGACATAAGTCACAGAACAGAGTATGGAGGAAGAGGCAGCATTCTTCCTCTAGGCAATGACAATAGATAACCACACGAGGAGGCACTTTTCTATCATTTTTCATATTTATTAAACAACTCTCAAAAATGTCATACAGTGTGAAATAACGCTACATTCAACTTAAAACACTTTTTCATAAAGTTGTTTCACTTGTTGCYGTTTTCTCAACCAAACACCGCCTGTGTTACAACGCAACTGCCAATCTTCTGAGGCTGCTTAGTGAATCAGTCTGCTGAGAGTTGAGGAAACTTTTGGACCGACCAGATGCACTAATCAGTCAGACAAATACATTCAACAGCCTCAGGAGATTGACATTCTTGTAGTAACGCTATGTTGTTTGCTTGCGAACGCAGCAACAAACTACACAGTCATGCAAAAGTGCAAAGGTTTAACATTAGCTAATGTAGTGCTTTCTTACACCCATAAGTCCAATCTTTTAAAGAGTTGTTTTAAAGCTTAAAAATGATTTTAAAAATGGGCTAATGCAAAGCCTGAATGATGACTTTTGCCATTTTCTCCATATTGTTCTGTGACAAATGTCATTCTTATAAGATATMACCAGACTCCCTTTTTCACTGATGTTCAGTATTTAGTTGGGATTTATTTAACTTCACACAACTCCTTTATTACAGAAAAATTGGGCTCCTGGTCAATTAGTACTTTTCCTCCTTCAGGTCATCAGGACTCCTCGTACCCACACTGGCAGCAGACCCAAGTGTACAATTTAGGAAAATCTGATCTGCTGTGGCAACCTCTAAAAGGGAGCAGCTAAATGAAAAGGTTTTTCATGTTGTGTTTGACTCCAATAAAATCTGTGTAGTAACTGTACGGTAATTACATGTGTGCAAAATAGTAAACACACAAGTACAAAATACCACACGCTGAGTACAAAAAAAGCAACTGCTAAGTACACGGTGAGGGCATAAAGTATCAACACTCAAAAATAGTGGCATGCAATCAAAAATTTGACAACTGTTCTATTTTTRTACATGTTTACATATAATTTAGTGATTAAGTGCAATATAACAACATATCCACAAAAAGCTGTAAAAATATTTATCAAAACAACGATGTAAGCATTATTTTATGTGCCTTATTTCATCCATTCAACTCTGATGTGTTTTAAAAGCTGTTTTCAGTATTTGTTTATGAGGGCTACCTCCTGTTGTTGCTCACGTATTTACGATATACACTCAGGCTTATAAAAACAACATTGTTAAAGTAAAAAGAGAAACACTTCCTCAGATGTCAACAAACAACTCTGTAGAGTATAGACAAAAGAAACGAAGAAACTTAATATGTTATTTTTCATGTGTCAAACTTATTTAGAATTGATTTTAAGCAGCAGGAGAGAAAGCTACAGGGATCGGATCAACTTTATGGGCTCTGTATTGGTAATTGGCATTTGCAGCACAAGCCACTATTATCTGTTTCAATTAGATTGTAAACTGGTTAATAGCCCTGAAACAACTGTGGGTGGCTTCTCTGGCGAAGGCCACATAATAACAAGTAATCACACAGTGAAAGTGCTGAAGCAAAGGCAAAACATGGAGACTAAAAAACAAACCAAAATAATCAATCAGACTCTCACACACGTTGCAACATCAAGCTGTTCTGGATAATGACGTTTATGTTAAATTTTAGGCTTAAACAAATGCACACTGAACAGTTTAATCAGTCTGCCCGTTTCCAGATTACTAATTAATCACTGCATCTCACTCTGCACAAGCAGGCAGGAACATTTATTACCCACAAACCGTTGTGCAATTATTTATAAAAGTGCATTGGTCAGTGTGGTCTGTCAGCAGGTCTTATCAACTGCAGAGCTGCCTAATTGTTTTAAATATACGCGGTGTTATTGCAAACAATGAGCCTGTTTTGTTTGTGGGCTCTGTCATATTGCCATCAATACAACATTGGGGTTTTTTTGTACCGCAGTTCTAGCTGCTCCAATTATGAAACGGCAAAGGTATACGCATTACAATTAGCTTGTAGCCATGTAGTGTTAGCTTAGACAAAAATACCTCATTAAATACGAGAGCTGGCCCCACTGCACAAGCTAAGCTAAAACCAGTCGTTAGCATCTTTCCGAGCCTGGTCGTTCTTGTTTATTWCATCCCTACAAGCTAGGACGTCGTTAGCTAAAAGCAGGCTAAATGACCGAGCAAAGCAGCGTTTAGCTTTTTGAAGAAAGAGGTGATTAGGTGCAGATGTTCTCCTCTCTGAAAGCGACTACGTGCTAGCATGAATAMCGTTTTGTGTATGGAGAACCTGGCGTGAGTCCTGCGTTACAAAAGCACCGTCACACACGCTGACATTTCTCTTAATAAACGCAGCAAAGCAGTCTGCTGGCAGAGAGAAGGAGCGAGAAGTCAGCCACAGACGAGCTAGCTAAAAGCATACCTGAAAACGTAGCAACGCAACAAGGCCCCACGAAGAGAGGGAAAGGCTGTTTTCTTTTCTCTCTCTSTGGCAGGAAACCCCAGCCTAGAGTCGGCCGCTCCGCCGCGTTTCCYCTCAGCCTCTCCGGTCCAGACAGCCCCGGCCAGCGGCGGCGAAGTCCGGGGGCCCCGTCACGACACTCTCTGATCCAGGGGCCTTTCTTGCCAATTCCCCCTCCCCTCAACCTCTCTCTCTCTCTCGCTATCTCTTCCCCCCTTTTGTCCTCACCTCCAGGAAAGGGGTTAAAAAAAAAGGATGAGAGCAGAGCACAATCGGGGTGCCTGCCTGTGTGGGTCCCAGCGAGGCCCCCCTCCTGTCTCTGTCTCTTTCACACACCGCTGAGGTGATTATCGTAAACTAAAATTAAACCTTTTCTCCCAAGCCTCCTTAACGCGCGAGGACTTCAGACGTGGCTTTTCTTTTTCGTCTTCTTCTCATTATACCGCATTTCTATCCCTCCATCTGCAGCTTTTTCCTCCACTGTTTTATTTTTTTTTTATTTGAAACAGAAAGACCGCCTTGAAAATRCACTCATATGCCTTCACCCCGTCCTCCCCCCTCCCTCATCTCTCTCCATCACACCCATTCCCTCTCTCATTCTGTCTTTGTTTATTTATTTTGCCTTTTACAGGGATTTTAGCGGATTTCTGCCATAAAAATCCATGACTGCACTGATGTGGCCAATGGGTGTTTTAGCATGTTCATGCTCCTTCTGCTTCTTTGTTTCTTGTCTCATTTCACTGATTTTGATGATGATGATGATGATGATGATGATGAAGGCAGCAGGGTAGCTACAAAGGCAGTATGGAGAGGAAGGAGGAAGGTCTGTAATGAACAGCAGACCTCAACAAAATTAAAGGTCTAACAGTCCTTGAAGGAATGCATATCGCCCGCCGCCCTTCATGCTAGAGTTTTAGATGGAGATCATCTTATGTTGAGAAATTAAATAGYCATCAAACCTTATATCTAATTCACAATCTTATCAAATGTCAGATTTCACTCTCAGTTACTACCACATAAAATTCCAGCTGAATATCTGTAAAAATGATTTAGTTATAACTGTTTTTGTTTTGGTTAAGATCACCTAACTGTGGCGGCCATCTTGAATTGGATTTACTCCAAATGGTAATCGATTGTTGAGGTGCATTCAAAGATTATTTTTCTAAAAACTGGTCAAGCGGTTTGCTTGATATTTCGCTCACAGACACACAATGTTGACTTCAAATTGTTAATGGCACAATTTTAGGCACAGATCTTACACAATCTGTTAGTGCAGAGTACGTGTTGGGCTCAGCCTCYATCACACCGAACCTTAGGTCAGTATCTGCAAAACTTACTGATTTATTACAATTTTTACGTTACCCTAACCGTCTTTAATCTAACTGACTCCAAAAGTTCATTAGTTGTAGATATGCATCTCGTGGTTACTTTCTGAAAGTGTTGTTAACATGTGTCCAATGGTTCATGAGGTATTTTAATAACAGACATAGGTTCTCACACACTCAAGCAAAAACATTATTGTCCACCTTCACCTTTTGATAATAAGAGATACCGACCGGCAGGCGATAAAGACAATCCATGCCTGCATTAGAGGATTATTCAAATAAATAAATGAAGGGACTTGATTTGCAGACCTCCTGCGCTAAATAATTTTTTTGTATTTATTCCTTAAAATCAAGATGTTTATTAGAGCAAAAATGAAGATGCAACAAACAGAATCCCTCCTTTTTTGTATGCATGCATGTATGTACTGTATTTATCTATGTATATGTT